ATGTTAACCCAGTGGATTTCAGGTGGTATAGCCACATCCAAAGGAAATTTTCCTGCAAAGGCGAATTAATTACCTCTGTTAACTTCCATGTTAAATCCTTTAACTAGCAGGAACAAAGAAGGGATACTATGCACACAATCCAGCTGTTTGGGAGCACTATATGGCTTCTATCCAGTTTTAGCCATTGGACTTAAACAGCAGGTGACTTCAAAGAAGGCAAGATGTTGCATTTTTTTCATGCTCATTTAGCCAGTTTAAATATTGCTTTCTCTCCTCCATTTTAACTGGTGAGACAATGTGTAGGGGTACCAGTGTAGTTTGGGGTTGGTTTTTTTTTGGCACAGGGAGGGTTAAGGAGGAAGTGTTTTTTTCAAAGTATAGCTTTTAAATTCAAAAAGCCTCAAACAACCCCAAGAGCACCAAAAAAATGTACTGGCCAGATGCAGCCCATCAACTACTTCAATGAGCACAGGTCATTCTAGCTTCTGGTAACTGATGAATTAGTACCCCTTAATCACTGCTTTAAGGGTCCAGCAGCCACAAACTGAATTTAGGGCAGAAACTGAATGTTCCAAATACATCTCTACATTTCCAGTTCCATGCCTAAAAGCTTTGCTTCTTAGCTCATATAAGTCCTAATAACAAGGTGACATTCCCACATAAACAGGTTGCCATCATTTACTAACATCAGCTATTCTGTAAGACAGGTAATCCTATCGCCTTTGGGCAGAATTAAATGTTGTCATAACCAAGATGCTATCATGCCATCTGTGCCTTCTGCTCCCCATTAAAAAATATCTTCACAGTTAAAGCAGCAGCCATACCAGTGGGAAGTTTGAAAAGTAAGACTTGCCACCTATTGGTTCAAATGTTTTGGTTTTTACTGTGAGGGCGATGAGGCACTGAAACAGGTTGCCCAGAGAAGCTGTGTCTGCCCCCTCCCTGGCAGTGTTCAAGGCCAAGCTGGACGGGGCTTTGAGCAACCTGGTCTAGGGGAAGGTGTCCCTGCCCATGGCAGGGGGGTTGGAACTTTAAGGTCCCTTCCAACCCAAACCATTCTACGATTCTACGATTTTCCTAATAGTACCATCGTCTTTATTTTCAACATTATACCATTACTAAAAAAGAAGCTGAAGAGGTAAATTCTGTTTCAGTGGTTCCTCACCCACATCTTGGCACGTCAGTCCCAAAAGCGGTCTCCGAAAGACAGGGACCAGCCAAGGGAATCAAGAGCATTTGCCAGATCATTCACTTAACTAGGAATTTCTTAGAATTAGCTAGATGCTGGAACTCTTGAGTCACTCGCATATGTTACCAACTGGAAATCAGAGTAAGGAAGCTACAGCAGACTATAGCTGCCTCTTTCACAAAGAACTACACTGCAACCTTGTGATTACTTGCCCTTTAACTGGAAACACTTAGCAAACAAATAACAGATGAAGCCTTACTTCCCAACGCCACCAACAGATAGAGTTTAAAGATCTACTGAGAGGTTACCTTTGGAAAGCACAACACCCGAGTTTCAGTTTGGTTCACATTCAACTAAACAAGTTTCACAGGAAGAAAAAACAAACTTAAATTATCAGCTCAAACTACCCACCAAGCCATTTTCTAAGTTTTACCACAAGGTCTCCCATCTTCCCAGTACCGCAAGTTAAGGGAATCCTGAATTCATTGCAGGTGGCCTGATGAGCCTTGTAATTAGGACATGCAGTGTGGTCTTTCGGCTTCTTGAGAGCACTAACCCTTTCATTGTGAAATCCTTTCTATCCTGCTAGAAATCTATCTTAAAATGAGACTCCATTTGAGAGGTATTATTTGATGTATGCTTTTTAAAGAAATACATTGTCTTTGCTAATGGCACACTATGAACACAAAGCAGTCATTGCTTTTGGTGGAATTCATCAGAGCTCGTCTCCCTGCCACCTCCCAGATGGGTACCAATATACTTGAGACCAAAATGAGTCAGAATGCATTTCCCTCTTCTTCTCTATTTTCCTTTTTTCTGTCATCTGTCTGAGACCATCAATATTCTCCCTGTCACTCTAATCATCCCCTGGACATCCGCTTTGAGTGTGAAGCTAATTCAAAGTTTTTGTTCAAAGCCCTTCTTAAAACTCCCTTTGCAGCAGTACAAACACCTAGTAAGGGCTGAATTGCTGATTTGCTCAATTAAGTGTCCCAGACATAAAAACCATCCTGCTTTATGTATCTTAGCAATATTAATTCACCTCTTGTCTTCTACAAAGACAAAATGGACTAAATCACCATTTGCACATTCATCACATGTTCCTGAGCTTTTCCTATTTGATTCCAGGGGCCAGGGTGAACTTTCACACCACCACCCTTATTATATAACTTGGTTTTTTGGAACCTCTTTTTTCCTCATCATCTTCTGAAGAACTGGAGATTTCTACAGCTAGCAACAGGATGTAGCACCGTTTGTGCTGGTGCTCTTTATAGCATCTTTCAAATGCCAGATTGATGTGTTTTTCACATTGAGTCAGAGTTAAACTGATTTAAGATCATTTTCCAGGTCAGATTGGCAGGAACTGCTGAAGTGGTTTGCCTGACTCTATACCAGGAGGGATGGGCTGCATCTTGCGATAGTCTAGGAATTTTCCTTAATGAATTAATTGTTCTTTGAAGCACCAGCGACATCAGCAATGTCCATCTTCTCCTTTACTGTCATATTCTGGGATGTTATGTTTGTGTCTTTTCCTTTTTTAACACTGGGCCTCAAGATGATTATAGGGAGGTATTTCATGGTGGCATGTGTAGACTGGATGTTTTGGCATGTCCAGCTTTGTCACAGATCACACAAATGCCCTGCCAGCTGAACCAGGTGGCCACTTTCAGAGCCATGTATCATTCTTTGGCCACAGAGCCACTGGTGACTGCTAAGATTATGCTACACTGCCAGTACAGCCTATAGTTTAATGGGATCCTGGCTATCGACAAGGCTTCTGGCTGCCATGGTTGAAACAAACAAAATTTTGTAAATTTTTGCTGACAGAGTAGGCAAAACTGTGGTCATTGCAACCCTTAGATATCTGTTTTGACCTGAAACATGCCAAGAAGGGTTGGTGGAGTGAATTACCTAATATCCAGTCATGGTGTCATATTGCTCCCTTATAATGGGGGTAAAAGCTCAATGTAAAGGGTATGTAGAAAAGAGAATAGTCACCACTGTGAGCTTACAGAATCACAGAATCGTCAAGGTTGGAAAAGACCTTGAAGATCATCCAGTCCAACCATGAACGTAACATTGACAGTTCCCAACTACACCATATCCCTCAGTGCTATGTCGACTCTGAAGACCTCCAGTGATGGGGACTCCACTACCTTCCTGGGCAGCCCATTCCAACGCCTAACAACCCATTCTGGAAAGAAATGCTTCCTAATATCCAGTCTAAACCTTCCCTGGAGCAACTTGAGGCCATTACCTCTTGTCCTATTGCTTATTACTTGGTTAAAGAGGCTCATCCCCATCTCTCTGCACCCTCCTTTCAGGTAGCTGTAGAGGGTGATGAGATCTCCTCTCAGCCTCCTCTTCTCCAGACTAAACAACCCCAGTTCCCTCAGCCGCTCCTCGTACAACCTGTGCTCCAGACCCTGCACCAACTTTGTTGCCCTTCTCTGGACACGCTCGAGTAATTCAATGTCCTTTTTGTAGTGAGGGGTCCAAAACTGAACACAAGAATCGAGGTGTAGCCTCACCAGTGCCGAGTACAGGGGTAAGATCACTTCCCTGTCCCTGCTGACAATGCTATTTCTGACACAAGCCAGGATGCCATTGGCCTTCTTGGCCACCTGGGCACACTGCTGGCTCCTGTTCAGCTAGCTGTCAATCAACACCCCCAGTTCAGTCTCTGACTGGTAGCTCTCCAGCCACTCCTCCCCAAGCCTGTAGCACTGCTGGGGGTTGTTGTGGCCCAAGTGCATCACCCGGCATTTGGCCTTATTGAAACTCCTACAGTTGGCCTTAGCCCATTGTTCCAGCCCGTCTAGGTCTCTCTGCAGAGCCTCCCTACCCTTGAGCTTAAGTCCAATTCAAAGCCTGCTGAAGGCAGCAGATAGATATGCTTAGTTTTGTCACTGGGTTGGCCCTGGAGACAGAAATAGCAGCCTCCTGGTGAGCAGGAGTTATATATTCTACATCCCCAGGGGATGTGCTAGATTTCAGCAATGGGTAGAAAATTTGGGATTTCACGCATTGTGTGTCTATACACCCATGCTTCTATAAAAATGTGATAATAGAGAATTTGCAAAGTTACTGATGGGTGTAATGCATGTGAAGTACTTTAAGAATCTCTTGGCAAGAAGGGCTCTTACAAAGAAAGATTTAGTATTATTCCAAGTGTATGTAAGAGAAAGTGGCTCCTAGGGAGACAAAAACTTCTTGAAGGCCCTTAATTAATACTATTTTGGCATCCATAGCACTTCCCCTTCCTTTTAACAATTTGATGCCAAGAGTTTCTCATTCCAGTAGTGTCCAATAAATCCTAGAAAATAAGCTCCAGTGACTGTTGGAGGCATCTTTGGTTGCTTGATGGCTAAAGCAGCTAAAACCTTTTTGTTAGTTTTTGAAATTGCTTTTCCTTTTAAAATGCACAGGTTTAACACCTGAAACAATGTGGCTGATTCTCCTCTCAGCAGCCAGGACATTTTGCATCAGCACAGAACTATGCTGTGCTGCAGGTAAAATGATGGGCGCTTCAGTGCCAGGACATGTGTGAAGTCCATTGTGAGAACAGACTCTGCTCTGTGGCCCTTTGAATTGATCCTGCTGCCATGCACCAGCTTCAGCTTTGTAAGAGGGGTCAGTGGAGCTCAACATGTTGTGTTTGACTATAGTGAGGGTGGGTGAAGCAGATTATCTGTATGGCAGTGGCCTGCCACTTAGGCTGAATTTTTATTTACAGTATACACCATCTGCAGTGGGATGAGATTCAGTGGTAGTTGGGACTCATCCAGGTAATTGTGCCTAGAGCTTCAATATGATTCTTCCGGTAGGTGACTGTCACCCAGAAAATGCACTCACTGTACGGACATCCTGAATGTTTGAGATCTCTGAGGCAAATGTAATTCCATTTCAGATTTATTTCACAAACTCTAAATGAATTTCAGTGCACATCTACCATATGTATATAATATATATAAGCGTATGTGACATATATAAAGACTCTGTTGAAATATTCAGATTTAACAGCACTGAAAACAAGGTCTCCACAGAGGCACAGATTGGACCTCTTCTTACCTCACTTTCCCATAAACCAGCAGTTACTCTCTGATGCCTGAATTACATGAGCATAGCATTACTGTGAGGTGTATCAGACCTAACATAGAAACACCCTAAGAAATAAGTCTCATCATTTCGGGGTGAGAGAGAACTGTCAATAGTTGGTCCTGTTTCTACAGTGATTCATTACCATGTTGGGTTTTTTTGAAGTTATTATTTGCTTTTAAAACTCCTTCTACACTGTTTCTTTTGAGCCTTAACACATTGTAAATGAATCCTTGTTATCTCCATTAGGGAGATTAGCAATTTAGGTGATTATGAGTTTCCTGCTGTTCTAAAACTACTGAATGGCAAATTAGGAGCTCCTGATTTGGATTTGCAGTTTGAGAGAGTGAAGATTCCATTGAGGTGAAGTACAAAAGCTAGGTGTTTACTGTTTATCAGGAAATGTTTAAACCACACCAGGTTTCCCCTTAGAAAATCCAAGACAGATATAGATTTTAATGTTTCTTATTATTGTTTGAATATGTCACTCTATGTTGATTGTCTCGTTAACCAGATTGGAAATTAAGAATTTAAATTTTTCTTGGTGTTCTTTTCCTTTCCCTGATTTCAGTACAGTTTGTGTAAATAGTTTTGGACACAAAAACATTCCCTTTTTGGGGTTGTTCTTTAAGTTTTTTGCCTGCATATTCTAGCTGTACCATGAATGTGGCACGATCAAACATGAGAAGGCTTAGTAGAAAGGTTGGACTAAGTGAACCTTGGCAAGCTCAGTAGTTTCCTCCGCAGTGGGGTGACCAGCTCCATTGCACTGCCTTCATGAAACCTCTTTATTAATAGCTCTCCTCAAATATGTAGCCATGTTCCTAATGAAAAAAAAAACCCACAACACCCAACACATTTTTTTTTGCTATTTTTATCCTTCCTCTACTCAATCAATCTCAGAACAATCCTTAATACAGGACTGTGTTTCATGTGACTTTTTTCTTTTCTTTTGCAGGCTCTGAGCAGCAGTCTGTACAAGAGTGTATCGCCTTATGGCTCTCTCAATAACATTGTGGATGGGTTAAGCTCCCTCACTGAGCATTTCTCTGACCTGTCCCTTTCTTCAGAAGCCAGAAAACCCAGCAAGAGGCCACCTCCTAACTACCTGTGCCACCTCTGCTTTAACAAGGGACACTACATCAAAGACTGCCCACAGGTAAGGAATATACAATATTCTGGAAAAATCTTTGTGGAAATCTTCACCATTCCTTGATATAGTAACACAGCATTTGACTGATATACTTCTTTAGAGTGAGTAGCACTGAAGAAGTATCTTGAAAGTAACAAACTATCCATGTATTCTTTTAATCTTTTATCATAATGCTGACAGAAGAAATATGCTATTTCATTTACCTAATAAGCATTACAAAACTCATTAATCTAGGCACATGAATAAGTAGATTTTGAAAACCTTAAAAATGGCTACTATGTCATTTTCTATCACAGAGATTGTGTAAAATACATTTTCAAGCAGTGCACTATACAGACAGTTTGGCAATGGCACTTAATAAAAATGTAACAAGTTACATATGTTACAGGAAAAGAAAGCATTACACTGGATGAGAACTTCGAATCAGTGTTGCAGTAAAAGCTCCAAGTATTTCTGTCTTTTGTTTCACCGAAGAGGTTTGCTGTACTTGGCAAGATGTGGTGGTTTTGGACTCCTAGAACACTTTTGTACTGGCAAAGCTGGCAATATTTATTTTCTTAGAAAAGAGGTATAAACCAGTGTGCACTAAAACCACTCACAAATGGGCAGTGTTTTTTTCCTGAGGCCTCAAGCAACAGTGTGCAAGGTTTCTCCATCCTCTCAAGTTTCAGCTGAATGCAGTTGTGTTGCTGGTTTAAACTTTTCACAACTCCAGCAATATTCTGTGTAGAGTCCCAAGGAAATTAAAGTGTTGCCAATACTCGAGAAATAGAGATGTGGACATTACAGGCATCCACTTCACTACAACTTAACTTCCTACTCTCTTAATATGTGACTTTCAGCAGAACTGATCTGCGTAAATTGAACTACAGTTAATTCACAGTTTAGGATGTCAGACATACATAATCCAAAACACAGGCAGAAAAGCATCTGCCAGCTGAGCAAGGTCAGCATGAAATCAGTTCTAATGTCAGATGAGCTTTAACTACATATATTCCTCCGGCTATTATGTGTAGACTAAACTGTTTTCTTCAAGGACTTTAGCTGTATATTTTTCATTAATTCTAATGAAAGCTGTGGAATCGAAGTACATTTGCAGTCTTGGGTGTGGCACTCAACCATTTTTACTTCATATTATTTCAATATACGTTGAGTAAGGCAGTTTTCTTTAAGAAAGACACTATGACATTTTCTTTGCTAGGAGATCAAAAATACTCTGGTTTGCATACTTCTGTGTTTAATGTACTTAGTATAGCATGTTACCGCAAAACAGAGATAGGACCATGTAATAGCATACATTACTTAACAAGAGGATTAAAACTGCAACTGCTAAATATGGAGCAGCATGAGAGAGTGTGCTGAACTGGGGGAGATGGCTGTGCCGTGCTACGTAAGAAACAAAGTGAATGCAGCAGGTCTCTTGACGATCAATAAGTGCAAGCTGCAGTTTGCACAGATGATCCCAAGTGAACATGTCAGTGTTGGAGCAGTAATGCGTTATTTCATATAGGTATTTTTACAGTTTGAGACACTAGGGATTAAAGAACAGTTAAAGAAAATTGACAAACCCCTAGAAATCCAGGACATGCAAACAAATTAAGGGTCCTGTAGGAAGATTAATTCACTTAAATTGCACATCCTGTGTATTCTTTTTTTTAAGATTTCACTAGCAATGTCTTTAATTTCTCTGTGAACCAGGAAATGAAAAGACTGTGGCTGGTCTATAAGCTAGTGAGCAAGGATTGAAGGAACACCGGACTGGGAGGCATCTGCTTGCACTGCACATCGCCTTCTACAGTTACAGGCAGCCATATCATAATGTCTCTTCTCTAAACTGGTCAAGTTTTAGTTGGGAAGTATTTCAGCATTTTGCCCTCACTATTGCTGATGTGGGAAGCTGCACCAGAACCTCAGTCCTCTCCTAATTAAGAATTGCCCAATTTCCAGGATAAGTGTAATTAAGAATTGCCCAATTTCCAGGATAAGTGTAACCAATGGCCACTTTATAGTAATTCGTTCTTCTGCCAACATTGTCCTCCACCGAAATAGATCTTCTCCCTCCCTGGTGTTTATCTCAGGATGTATTAATAGACTGCAATCGTATCGTCTCTCAGCATTCATTCTGTAGGACTAACCAAGCCAAGTTTTCTCTGTTTCCTTGCAAAAAGTAGACAGACTCTCTTTTCCCCAGTCCTCATGGCTGTCCTCTTGTGCTTTTCATCTCCTTGTCTATGCATGACAACCTGTACGTATGGCACCCCAGAACAGATCTCATCAGTGCCTCTTGCTGTGTGCACAGATATCTGTTTGTATAGATCAGAGTTTATATTACTTAAGGAACAAGTGATATGGAGTTAGTTCTTTATTGGAGATTTCTAACACAAGCATTTTATGATCTAGGCAGCATGTAAGTGCTTTCTTGAAAACAAGCAGACAGGCCTTCACAGAAACTTACTTCCCTTATGTTATATAAATCTGAGGACAGATCTACAGGGGATGACCCTGTGTGCACGAGTTCTGTTCAAAACATTGAAAGCATTGTGCACAAGAAAGGAGCTCCAATGGCGGGATCAGGCCTTTGTCAGAAAGACCCTGTTTGTTACCACTGCCTTTGACAATAACTGCTTTCTTAATTTGTACATTATATGTACTACTTAATAGCTTAGATTTTGATGCTTAGTTTTGCAAGCACTGTCAAAAATGACAGTTGTTTTGCAAATCCTACCAAAAAAGGGCTGTAGCTATGCATTTTTAAAGTACTTAAATTTGAGAAAAGAGATAAACTAATCTGATTTGAACAAGATGCATATCAGTAAATCATACAGTATTTTTATTTTCTTTTAATGTAACTGCCTAATAAGAAACAGATTTTGAAATGGGATATTTTATGGAGTTTTTCCTTCATAACAAAGAAATTGTATAACAATTTTGAGACTTTATATCCTCCCTTAATTCTGCTTGTTATAGACACTGTAAGGGCATGTGTTCTTTTTCTCTTACTGTAAAAGTTGGTGGTATACCATACTGATGAAAATACATGTATGGATTCAGATCTATATCTTAAGTGATTATCATATTCTAGGAGGTTAAATAATTATAAACAAAAAAGTCCAGCCTTAGTATTTGAGTACCTTAGGTATCTGAAGTTTCTCCAATATCCTGTCCAAAATGATCTGTTTGGAAATTGAAAAGGGATTTAGCAAACTTCTCTTATTTTAGCATGTAGTTTGTGTGATCCATAGTGATAGAAAGTGTGTTTTCCGTTTTAGAAACTACCAGAAATGAGCAATGTTATGATTGCAGTTAATCTTTCCCAATTTACCTACATTTGCAAAAATTTTGCTGCAGTTATTACATCTATGAAAAGCAGCGCTTTTTATCATTAGTGTCATCTTTGTAGCATACCTACGTTTTCTCTGAACTAGTTTTTGAATCTCAGTGGCTTAGATGGTGAAATGCAGGGGTTTTAACCCCAAGCCCCAAATGAAGGTTGACATATGGGTGATTCCCACAGCCCTTCACAAAGTGGGGGTGAGTTAGCCTTTAAGCTTCCCTCCAGGGTGCGGCCTGCCTGGCACGGAGACCCATTAGGTAAACGAGCTCCGAGCTCCCAGTGTCCCGCATTAAGTAAACAAAGGTCAGGTGTCCCACTTGGGGATAAAAGCTGGGACCCCTTGCAGGAAGGGTCAGTGTCTGTCTGTGAGGTGGATGCACTGTACAGAGTTTCCTGTTGGGGAAGGACTTCCTGCCTCCCTGGGGCTGGGATCCAGTCAGGTCTGGCTTTTGTAAATGTGGGCTGTGTAGAGATTCAGTATGTGGCTTCCTTGGTCTTATGTGTTTGGTTTGTTGACTTGATTGTCTCCTGTCCCTTCTATGGGAGACTGCATGTCACCATTTATTTATTCTACCCATTGTTGGTTGTGTGGTGTCATTATTGGGGTCAGTAGGGTTGATGTCAGTTATGTATAATCTGGCTGACTTGTTTGTACTCCTTGTGCTCACCCATGTACTGACTATTGTTTTGTATGAAATACAATTTGGTTATTGGTTCATCTTTATGCTGGCTGTGTCCTTTATGTTAGGCCTGATAATTGGCAAAACAGATGGTAACACCTTAGTCATGCCTCTCTGATGTTCTTTCACATACAGAACTCTCCCTGACTTGAATGAAGAATGTCTAGAGAATAAAGGTTAAAAGCAGTGCTCTTAAACTTAATAGAGTGACATTCTTAAATTATCATTGAGAGTGCAGACAAATATACAAAAATATTTCTCTTTAAAGAGCAAGGAAGGTGAGGGTTGAGAGTATTTTCCTATCTGGCTTACTGGTGGTTAATTGCATGATTTATAAATATATATGAATATAGATCTATTAAAACTTTGTTTACTTATTTGTGAACTCTAAGGTACTGTGCCAGTGTATATCTTACATATGCATGATAACCATATGTTTTCTTTTCCTTGCCAGGACTAATAATTATGAGCTATAGTGAAGATATATGACTCTTTATGACATTTATCTAGCAGATATAGAATAGAAAGTCATTGAAAACTTTTAAAAAAAAGTTACTTTGTCCCTTTTCACCCATTATTACTGTAGTCTATATTTTTAAATCCTACAAAACATAAACAGCGGGTTTGCTTATACTCTGCATGGCCTATACAAAATGAATCTTGCTCCTTTATAGGGATGTTATTGACATTACTATCCTTCCATGATGTTGTGACCCTAAACTCAGACCTATCATGTAGGTTCAGTATACAGGAAGTACAGGATAACGTGATGTGGAATTAGATACAGTATATATGGACATCTATGAACAAAACACCTACTTCAGGTTCTGAGAAGTTGCTGAGTGATTGAACCTTTGCCATAGTTCAAAATCTTCTTGGGGAAAGAAATACATTGACACAGATCCTAGACCTCACTTACTGCATATGTTGTTCCTCTTGTTAATTTGGGCAGTAATGGATTAACAGCAAAGAGTTTGCACTTGTATATCTCC